AGGGGCTGAGGGGATGAGCCGTGCCCCGCGGGGTGGTCGCTAGCGGAAGGATGACCACTCCCGCCCTGCTGCCGCTCTCCGGGCGGAGGCTGCCCCCCCTGAACCTGGGGGCCTCCGCCTTCCCGCACCACAGGGCTACCTTGAGACTCTCCGAAAAATTTATCCTGCTCCTTATTCTTAGTGCCTTCATCACCCTGTGCTTCGGGGCGTTCTTCTTCCTCCCCGACTCCTCGAAGCACAAGCGCTTTGACCTGGGCTTGGAGGATGTGCTCATTCCTCATGTGGACACCAGCAAAGGGGGCAAGAACCTCGGCGGCTTCCTCATCCACGGGCAAGGGCACGACGAGCACCGGCACAGGTAGGTGCCTTGCTCCGCCGGGGAGGGAGCGGCGCCGTCGCTGTGGTGTCGAGCGGGTCCCGGTGGGAGCAGGACGGGGTGAAAGGGGGAGCCGGTAAAACAGGTCCTTGCCGCGCTGCTGTCGCTCCTCTCTCCCGCATCCTCTCGTCTTCTTCCCAGCGCGTATCAACTTCTGAGCGCTAGCCTTGTGCCCTCTCCAGCTGCCATATGTAGCTGTGGCTCCATGTTTTCTTTTCCAGTGTGAATTTAGCCTTGCGGCTAGCGACGGCTGGGAGGATGAATGCGAGCTCTTCTCCAGTGACTGATTTATTTTTCTCACCCTAGTCAATTCCCTGGATCACTCGGATATGAGTGAGTGCTGGTCGCCCGAGGGGGGGGGGGGGAGGAGATTGAGTTATGGCATGTGTGGCGACAGTATAAGTGACTAAAAAGCTGCTGTATCTCTTCTCTAGCCTTTATGTGCTTACTCAAAACATGTGCTTGTTGCTCAATAGTGTAGCAAGAACTTTGATCTGATAAAGACTTCATGCTGTGACCCAGAGGCTGTCAGCCTACAATGTGTGGGATGCAAAACTAGTGTAGATGGCATAATTGCCTTTTCTGGCCCTTAAAATCACTTGTTACAGTGTTATTCCAGACAATTGGAGGTGCCCGTGCAAAGTTTCCTTAATTGTGTTTGCCGGTGTAAAGAAATTTGAGATAAAAGAGTAGGTAAGAGTACCAAGGGTAAATGATCATGCTGTTGATAGCCTTTTTGGGGCCACCTAAAGCTTTGTGCGGTACAAGCCTCTAAACGTTCAAGACTGGGTTATGTGCAGTTAAGCCTTCAAAACAGAGATACAAAAATGTAAATGAGGATTGTACAGTATATTTGCTGTACGCTAATTGCTTAAATCCTACCCTAGTGTCTGAATTGTAGTGAAGCTGACTGATCTCTTTTCACTGTCAAAGATGTTTAAAATGCGATGATGATGGGTGATAAAATATATGCTCTTCTATACTTAAATTAGTAATATGGTGAAATTTAAAGAGAGGTTCCTTATGCTGATAGTGTTCCTTTAAGAACAATTTAAAATATATCCTATTGACATGATATAAGAACTATTTAAAGGTTATTTGTGCTAGATTAAAAGGAGAGGGCATAATTGCCTCTTTATTCATCTGTTATGAGGTATAAAGACTACCTGAATACTATGGTATTTTTCCTTAAGGCATCTTTGCCGTTGGATGTCTTGGGGCACTTATCATGAGCTCTTTCTCCCTAACTGAAAGGACATAGATGCTTAATATTTAACAAGGACTTCTTTTGTCTATGATGTTAATTGCTGGTGCGGTTAAATGTTGCACAAAATATAGGTTTAGACACTCTAATATGCCTTTGAAGTTCTCATCTTTCACTGTCTTTTTTTCTGTGATCTTATTTCTTAGCTTCCCCAGTCACTCTGGTACACGCAGTCAAAATCAGGTTCTGAAATAGAAGACAGATGAAACAAAGAGGCGTTCAGCAGAAATTTTCAAAACTCCAGCTGTGACTGTTAGACCTTGTGTTGCCCAGTAGATGGGCCGTGGAAAAAGGAGTTTGTTGATACTGATAGTTCTGGAGTGATGCTCTTGATTAACCTACTTATGTGGGTCCTTTTCAGGTTTCCTCTTTAAGTATAATTACTGAGACTACAGCTTTAGTAATGATAAGAAGTGCATGCTACTTTTGTCTGTCGTGTGTAGATAAGCAGTAACTTAAAACTGTCAGAGCTAAATGCATTTTGCCTTGTTTGGGATCTGTTCTTAAAAGAAGTGGTTATCCTGTCATCAGTTAGCTCTCCTATGGTTCCTCCTTAAGCTGCAAATGTGTGTACCTCCCGCTGCCTCCCACCCAAAATTGTCCCTTTCATGTACGGATTTTTATGGCTACCTTTTGAGTTATTTGAGCCAGAATAGATATTATTCCTGTTGTTTTAGCCCTGCAAACCATTGGATTAATCCAAGCATGTCTTAACTACTAAAAATGTTTGCCTGCTTAACCTGCTTGTAAGACACTTGTGCAAATGCCACAATATGCATTGTGAAGCAAGGTTATGTGCTTTAATTTTGGAGCAACTTGTTTGACTTATTACCACATAGCCTTATCAACAGGTGATTTACGAGCTGCTTGGAGCTGATGTGGTGACTGTTTTCCATAAAGGAAAACACCAGCTGCCACTTTCAGTGCTGAGTTCCTGCTTCTGGATTGTGGGGACCTTGACAAGTGGTATTTTGAGAAAGTAAAGAGTCTTCAATAGTGAACTCTGGATTACTTGTTATCTCTGTTTGGGATGAAAAAACTTCGGTCAGCATGCCATCAGGGAGCAATGTGAAGTGTCAGCTACTCTATAGGTAGTGTTTTTTGGATAGCACTAAGTAGTTATGGTGCAAAAGATCAAGAGAAAATAACCTACTGTTAATACAAAGGAGGATGTGGTCTAAGATGTGAAGTGTGATGATGGATTGACAAGCTGTCTTTCCAAGAATTGTGGGACTTCAGAAGAAAGTGGATCAAAGGTCGCTCATATCAAGTATACACTTGATCATGAAATGACAGGTGTGTTGATTTAGTGACTAACAGAAAGTATTTCTTCTGTAAATGGTGGTATTGACCTCTATTGAACAATAAAAGCTACGTGTCATGGTTATGCTGCTCCCTTGGTACATAGGCTACAATATTTTAATGCTCATTTTCCCCTACCCCTTAAATTCTGAGATTTTTAGGCCATTCATAGGAGGATATTCATGTTTCTGTCTTCTAGCAAAATATAGCAATGATGTAGGTAGAGAGTTGTCACGCAGCCATGCGTTAGCGTTGGGTGTACAAACAATGGTTCTCACTGGACATTCTCTGTATTCCTCACGTTGCTTTTGTACCTCTTCCCCTTGGCCCCCTTGACATTCTTGAGTGTTTTTATTGTTGTTGTTACAGTGGTTACCCCTTGGTGACATTAACTTGACATCTTTTTTTTTTTTTTTTTTTTTTTACTGCTCCTGTCCCTCTTCCCTTCTCCCCTTTGAGACCAAAAATGGGAGGGGGAAAGCCCACTCCCTTCCTGATGGTCTTAAGTATTTGTTCAAGAATTAGCATCCTTGCCTATTGTGGAAAGAAAAACAACTTTCTTGTAAGAAGATGGTTAACATCTGGAATTAACCTGCAATTTATATTTTGGGAAATAGGTGGGCTGTAGTGTAAGTTAGTACTCGTTTTTAGCTGTTCACTTCATGGGTAAGTCTTCATGTCCACTTGCAGGATTATGTATGGGGAATGGTTAGTAATGTTGGAAAGGTGTACCACAAAATTTTGCCTCTGTGAGAAGGGAGAGTGGAAAAGACAAGTCCAGGACTTGTGAAGATATGCGCATACACACGCTTTTAAAAAATCGATTTCACTTCCTAAAGATTAATTTCTCTCAATTTCAATAGAATATTGCAGAGATTCTGGAACTAGAGTAGCACAGTTTTGAAGACACATCTTGTCAAACTTGTCACAGTTATCTAAAACCACATAAGCAGTTTGGAGCGATGCACTTCTCCCAAATTTCTGCATCTCCCCTGCCATGCAAAAACACTTCAGGTGTTTCTCACTACCCAGTTACTCTCCAGCTATCTTAGGTGTTTTATTCTTTGGTACCATGTCTGAAAGATAGCTTTGGAACAACAACAACAACAAAATTCTTATGGTTTTTTCTTGGTATCTAATGTAAATGAGTGAGAATGCAGATGCCCTGTAATATCTTTGATTTATCAGATTTTTTTAAAATAAGGTTATCTGTAATATGAAAATTGAGTGGACTTTTTTTCTCTAATGATGTGTCAAGCAGCTGCTCTTTATATTACTTGACAAAAGTTAAGATCATTTCTGTGGTAAAAGTACATTAATCTTAGAGGCAACAAATAATGTAATTTTATGAGCTCAAAGCTGCAAAGACACTTTGTAACAGCACTTGGACTGCTGTTGTGCCAACAATTCATTCCTTCAGAATTTGCAGAGCTGTATCTTCAGCTGCTAAATTCTTGTGTATTACTTCAAGTCATAATTCCTGCCTGTGCTAAAAAAACCCACAAAAACCAAACCCTGAAAAAAGCCCTCACATCAACAGATTGATAGCAGGTGCTGTTAATACAACTGACGACCTCACCTGCTGTGGCCTCTGTGTGTAAGTAGGTATAGATCAGTGTAAGTCATACCTTTGACTTTGTTTCTATGAAGCTAAGGAATATTGACTTCAGTGTTATGCAAAGATATAAACTCAGCAGTCTCATATGACCAGTTGTGGGTCAGCAGCTATATGGCAATAGTCTAAAAGTGCTCTTCTGTTGCTCAGTATATGGTTATCTCTATGGCAGTAGCAGCTACTGTCTCTACTCTTGGGGGTGAAAGTAACAAAAATTATTCTGAAGAGCTTACAGTCCTCCTTTCTTCTTTTAAATCTTGCCTTTTTTTTTTTTTTAAGGAACATGAAAGGCTTAATATGCTTCTTTTGAATACCTTTATCTTCTCTGGTCTATATGACTTAATTAGCTAAAGTAGAAGTGGGCAGAGGAGATAATTTAACCCCTATTACTCAGTGGGATCAGTGTCTCCTGTCATCCTCTGCCATGCCATCAAGCATAAAAGTGCATAAGACTCTCTGCTCTTCCTTCCCCACCTTTATTTGAGGCACAGCTCATTAGTGCAATTAAGAGCATTTGCTATTGTGATTCAGAGAACCTTGTTTTTTCCTCTGAAAAATCAGGAGCCACCATAGCGCCTGGGCCCCAACTCCTACTCTGTCCAATTTTTCATTGCATGAAATTGAGCCTGTCTTCACAGCACACTCCGCAGCCTCTGTGGAGCGCGGACTCTGAGTTTAAGCTGAGGTGCTTGATCTAAAAACAAGTGAGTTTAGGGTGCAACACATGGGAGATGCAGGTCCTCATAGTGGCATCTATGGAGCTGAAGAGGGTATGAGGAGTGCATTCCAAGTCAGGGCTCA